TCTTATGATACTAAGTTTTTAAAATCAGTTGAAGCATCTAACCAGGTTAAAAATGTTAAGTTCATATTTGAATTATTAGATAGCATTATTGAAGAGGTTAGAGAATATTTGATTGTACAAGTTGTGACAGATAATGTAAGTGCTTACAAGATTGCATGTAACAAACTTATGGAGAAGAAGAAACATCTGTACTGGACTCCATGTGCTGCACATTATATAGATCTGATTCTTGAGAAGCTTGGCGAGCTACCTCAACATAAGAATGCACTTACTAAAGTAAAAAAGATAACCAAGTTTATTTACAACCACTATTGGGTTCTACCTCTAATGAGAAAATTTTCAAAGAAAGAACTACTAAGGCCAACAGCAACAAAATTTGCCACCGTTTACTTGACTTTAGAGAGCATGTTGGATGCTAGACAACCTTTAGAGGTTATGTTCACATCTACACAATGGTTGAGTTGTGCTTGGACGAAGAAGGCTGAAGGAAAAGAAAATAGAAAGATTGTTTTAAATGATAGATTTTGGCAAAATATCTTATATGCCATTATAACCACTAGAACTTTTGTTCAAGTTTTAAGGATGATGGATGCTGAGAAGAAACATGAAATGGATTTCAAGTTATTACCTAAACTCTCAGTATCAATATGCAGAGAATGAGTCTACAAACCCTAAAATAAAGTTGGGATTGTATCATTGCATAGATCGGCTAATAAGTAATGCAACTGAAAGATCAAATACATGCAATTGGTACCTTTTAGGAACAAATAATGCTTTTTTGGATTACAAAAAATAAAGAATACAATTGCTAAACGAGCTCCATATAATTTTATTTAATGTTTTAAACATTTATTTAAAAGTTATTTTTTTCACACTAATTAAACTCTCTTATATAAATATTAGTTGAGTGGTGGATTCAATTTGGCGATGGGGCTCCAGAATTGCAGCATTTTACTATGAGAGTTTTGGGCTTGACATGTTCTTCATCTGGCTGTGAAAGAAATTGGAGTACCTACAACCAAATACATACAAAAAGAAAAAATCGATTGTCCACATTGAGGATAAATTCACGGGTCATAATCGTTTATCCTGTGGTGCCATTTGACGGCAAAACTGTCATTCAGATGACACGTATCATGTCCTTACTAGCAGTAGATTTTTTGAGAATGAATTCTAGTAATATTTTTGACTAGGCATTAACTCTATGTGAGCTGAAATAGTTTTCAATTTGTCCACCTCGACAAACTGTTGCGGATGGTGTATAAATTTTTCTTTAAGTAATTGGATAGTTATTTCAATTTTAAACATCTTTGAATTTTTGGAATTTCAAATTTTGAATTTTATGGGCATTTGGACACTTGGAGGCATTTGAAAGTGTTTGAGAACCCCTCCAGTTGAGATAAACATTCAACACCGCCATAATCGATGTGTTTGGGGTCATTTTTAATTGCAGCTTGAAACTTGTCGACTCTATCGAGCCGTTCACAAATGATCGGGTTTCGTAGGCTTTATGCCTTTGTTGATAAATTTCTTTTGTCATCGATCTTAAAGGCCTTATATGAACGTATAAAACAGATATTATGGTCGACATCTTGATTGTATATCAGTTTGATAATTCGAGCCATGTCAACTTCTATCTATCTATATAGAAGGATTGGGCTCGAACTACATTCATTTATTGACTAGCACAACATCCCTAAACCTCACGTGTGTATCTGTAGCACACTCGTCAGGGCCCATGCGGGTAGTGCGATTGTACTGCTCCTTATATGTACCTATGTGTATACATATTACTGTGTATGTGCAGGGGCATTTTTGGATATTTTAGCGCTTATCAACTGTGCGAATGATTAGCATCTGGCATCTGGGAGTTCCCAATGCTCTATTTATAAGTTTGTATATGCCTTTTGTTTGCTTGTATGAGTGTTACAAATTTGGTGGCATAGCATCGTGCTTTTGTGGCATGTGATCTATTATTATCGCTCACCTTCTTATGCTTACAGGTTAATCGTAGCGTTGTCACATGATTTATACGAGATACCTCACTTTTATAAGCTTACGCTTTTATATTAAAATAGGTTTGGTCCATTGATGTAATTGATCCGAATTTAGGCTTCATTTGGCACAAAAAAAATCATTGGTCGTCAACTATTTGCTATTGATTGTGGGTAGATTCATATACTCATCTTTGTACTTATATTTGATTTTCAAAGAATCAATATAGCAACTTGACTGTTGGATGGTTGTTGACTACAAGGAGGATTTAACATCTGTTGCACATTAATCATCATCATTCATAGATGGATTACTGTATGCAACATATCTCCTAAGATTGTTTGAGATGTTGTGTGTATTTGTGTCCACAGAGGGGTTCGTTATACTTACGATATAGCAACTTGACTGTTGGATGGTTGTTGACTACAAGGAGGATCTAACATCTGTTGCACATTAATCGTCATCATTCATAGATGGATTACTGTATGCAACATATCTCCTAAGATTGTTTGAGATGTTGTGTGTATTTGTGTCCACAGAGGGGTTCGTTAAACTTACGATATACCCGCTGTTGTTATCCACAAATGCATCATATCATTCGTCCTTGCTCACATGAAATGATTTTGTTCACTATAATCTCCTGGACGTACTTGTAGAAAAGCCATTGTACATGCATCATATCCACCTTTATCATTCACAGGTGATTTTTACATATTTGTTGGCGGTAGCAAGTTTTATACAGCCTGTTGATGTTGATTACAAAGCATCACTGCATTCAGTATCTAGTCTTGATGTGATTTATTGTATGCATTATAGGTTTTACCTGTTAATTTTAGGCGCTTCCATTTCAATTTACAAAGAGACTATTGTTTGCATAACAGGTCATCCTTTAATCAATTTCCAGTGTTGACATCTCAATCTACAAGCTAACTGTTGTTTATATTGAGGCTCTCGTCAATGCAAGTAGGAGACATATGTATTCTTCAGTCGATTGATGTTGCTTACAACTACATAGCTCCATCTTCAGGTTAAAGATTTGCCACCGCTTACTTGACCTTAGAGAGCATGTTGGATGTTAGACAACCTTTAGAGGCTATGTTCACATCTACACAGTGGTTGAGTTGTGCTTAAGTGAAGAAGGCTGAGGGAAAAGAAATTAGAAAAATTATTTTAAATGATAGATTTTGACAAAATATCTTATATGTCATTACAACCACTAAATCTTTGGTTCAAGTTTTAAGGTTGGTGGATGCTGAGAAGAAGCCTACAATAGGTTTCATCTACAATGCCATGGATGAAGCAAAAGAAATGATTGCCTCCAACTTAAGAGGCGAAGAGGGTAGTTTTAGAGAAATTTGGAATATTATTAATGATAGATGGGAGCTACAACTTCACCGGCACTTGCATGCAGCTGGTTATTACCTAAACCCTCGATATCAATATGCAGAGAATAAGTCTACAAACCTTGAAATAAAGTTGGGATTGTATCATAGCATGGATCAGCTAATAAGTGATGCAACTGAAAAATCAAATGCTGACATGCAATTGGTACCTTTTAGGAACAAAGAATTCTTTTTTGGATTACAATAAGCAAATGATACAATTGTCAAATGATCTCTAGATAATTTTATTTAATATTTTAAATATTTATTTAAAAGTTATTTTTCGCACTAATTAAACCTTTTTATATAAATATTAGTTGAGTGGTGGATTCAATTAGGTGATAAGACTCCAGAATTATAGTGTTTTGCTGTGAAGGCTTTGGGCTTGACATGCTCTTCATCTGACTATGAAAGAAATTGAAGTACCTAAAACCAAGTACATACAAAAAGGAGAAATCACTTGTCAATATTGAGGATGAATTCACTTGTATACATTATGTATAATAGGCGACTCAGAGATAGGAATTTGAAGAAAAAAAGATTAATAGATGATGAAGATCCTTTGCTTAGCGAGTATGTGGTATCTGATGATGAGTGGTTTGTAGATGATGAAGTTGAAGTGATGCCGTCTGAATTACAAAATGAAGATTTAAATGTTGATTTCTTTGATGGTCTTAAAACATCTACATCCATCACAACTCAATAATAAATCAAAAAAGGTATATAAATAATAAAGTTTTCCTAAACTTTTATTAATTTATTACACTATTATTTATTTTGAGATTGTTCAAAAATATTTAGGGAAGAAGAAGATAACTGATATTGAGGAAGGACATGATTGGGAGACATTGGACTCTATAGGAGAGAAGGAAGGGGAGAGAGCAATTCATCATACTGATGATTCAAATGAAGACCCCCTTAGTGATGACAGTGTTGATGACTTGTGAGTTCTTATGTGATATGTCATTGCTATTTATTTCTGAAATTATATGTTAATGAAAAGAATATTGTGATTTGGGAAAGATGGAGTTTGAGTTAAACTATATTTCATGTTGTCTTATTATTGGGATATTTTGATTTCACTTCATATCTTGTGCATTTTTATGTTTTATATATTATTTACTCATTAGTATATACAAAATTTATCATTTTATGTTTACGCTATTTTTTTATTTTGAGGCTTACGCCTCAAAATGCCTTGAGGCTTACGCCTCGCCACACGAACGAAAAATGCCTCAATACCCGATTATGCAATTTTAAACATTGTCACCAACTTTGGTAGAGTTTCTCAACCCTAGCTCATGCCGCCCTACAATCAAATTAAATGTGGTAAATCATTTGCAGGTAACATCTTAGCCAACCTTCACATGTTTCTCACCACACTTGGGCCAAAGCTTCAGCCACTTACCTAACTTCTCCCTACTCCTCGCCAACTTGTTTAAGTCAAGTGAAGAAACTTTAGGGTATCGCCCTATTAATAGTGAATATCAAATCTGATACATTCCATAAATGTTGGTTCAACACTTTATAAAATGGCTCTCGGCTTAGCATGAAGTGAAAAAAGGTCTTATGTACAATCAATTAATATAATCAAAAAAACTGCAAAAGGCACAGTGTATTGACCTGTTCGTAAGAACTCTGGAGGGGTATAAGCCAAGTTTGTACTATAGCTTTTCCCATCTCGACTATTTTTCATAAGGCCAAAGCTAGACAAACAGGGATCACCATCCTGTTGGAGACGCAATAATTTTAAATGTCAAAATCAATCATAATGTTAGCAAAGTGATTGAAGAAAAATGTTTAATGGCTTATTCTAAATAATTCAAATAAGAAAACCAACTGCAAGCGCCAAAAAAGTTGGCAACAAAATTAGATTATCCTTTTATGTAAAACTGACAAGAATAGTTCACTCAATTTCAAAAACAATAGCAAACGAAGATTAAACTTCAAGTTTAGCAATATGCAGGAGGTATCCGGAATGGACGCCCAAGTCAGGAGAAAATTGAAGAGCGAGCTTACAATTCTTTTTTCCTAAGTTGGCTTTTAATAATATTGAAGAAGTTTTTAAGCACTTCAAACTTGGTAAATATTGTACCAACCATGAGTACACAGAAGAAAGAACATTTCATCAGATGTATCCATATATCATAAGTTTAAAAAGCATCTCAGAAAGATTTTCTCCAGTTATGTTATCTACAAAAAAATAATTTAAAAAAAAATTGTTTAAAATTGAATTACAAAAAACAACTTCTAGAAACCCTTTACAACTTGCAGCAATAGCACGTAGTTATCTATTATATAACAAAAAACAGCAATAATATTTGACCTTTCCAAATATGCCCTTTGATTGCATTGTTACATCAACATTATTCTAACTTATTTATTGTTTATCATATCCCTAAGTTTAATATCGCTCAATTTCTTAAACCAAGGGGCAATTTATTTGCTAAATGGCATGTGGGATGAGTGAGATTTATCTAAATTAATTTTTAAGTTCCAAGATGTTACACTATAGAAATGATAGAAACATTAGTTTTGAATGCTTAGATAATTGAATTAAAGTATGTCACAAATTTAATTAATATGCATAAAATTCCAAATACGTTATTCCATTTCAACGTTTCTCTTAGAATTGGCGGATAGAAAACTTTGTTAAATTTGATCCTTCAAATTGTATCCTTTGATTTCACCCAAAATATAGTAGTTATTAATTTATAATATCTCAAATGACAAAGTTTAATAAACTTTTTAACATCATTTTTATCCACCAAATGGTAGTTTTAACCTAAGGTTAGTTTAAACCAAATGCAAAACTAAATGCAAAGGTTTCAAATTTCAATTGTTTGGTTGAAATAAATATAAATCCAAACTAATTTATTGAGAGATTTAAAGCTCCCCTAATAGGTCATTTTTGGAGTTCACAATTCACCTGATTTAGATGAACTTTGAATACAATGCATGAACAAGTAATTGCAAGACAATGCAACCCTTCCTGCATGAAATCACCCTTGGCCTCCTCCCTTCGCAACACGCCTCGACGATGCCTTCCTCACGTAATACGCAATAGCTTGCTAGGGCAAACATGACCCCGCCACCCACCAATGTACAATGACAAATGCTTAGGAGATAGAGGTGCATGAGGATGTTAATGTTATATGGGAAAAAGTAGCTAATATCTTATTTCATGGTATAAAATTGTGCAAAAAGAGGGGCGTGAGTATGTTAATGTTATATAAGAAAAAATGGCTAGTGTAAGAATATTGCAAAAGATGTGCTTTGAGTATCAAAGGGAAAAACTCCTAATAGTAAAAATAGTTGATAATGGAATCCAAATGTGCAAGAAAAGATAAAAAATAAGAAAATTTGTTATAAAATTTGGTTTAGATGTAAAAATTCTGATAATTGGGAAAATATAAAGATGAATATAAGAAATCTAATAAAGCAATATGCGATGCAAAAAACTTAGCTTTTACTGATTATATAATAGATTAGATATTAAGGAGGGAGAAAGATATATGTATAAGTTAGTAAAACAAAGAGATAAGTATGGATTTAGTTCAAGTGATGTGAATTAAAAATGAATATCAAAAAATATTTTTCTTAGAAGATGATATTCAACAAAGGTGGACAAGATATTTTGCTAAATTTTTTAATTAAGAATATAAAAATATGATTTGACTTTAGTAACTTTAGCACCCTAAATGAAAATAAAGATTTCTGTTTTTATCAGTGTATTAGTAAAACCGAAATTAGAGAGGATTTAAAGAAAATGAAGTGTGAAAAAGCTGTTGGACCTGATGATTTTCCAATAGAGGTGTGCAAATGCTGAGGAGATAGAGGAATTTCTTGGCTTACTAAACTTTCTAATACTATTTTGAAGACTAAAAGGATGACAGATGAGTGGAGAATAAGTGTGTTAATTCACATTTTTAAGAACAAAGGTGATGCACAAGTTTGTGCAAATTATAGAGGAATTAAGTTAATGTGTCATAGTTTAAAACTATGGGAGCACGTTATGGAACATTGCTTGCGGCATGATACTAATGTTTTTTAAAATCAATTTGGATTCATGTCGAGTAGGTCTACTATGGAAGTCATATATTTATTGAGAGGTTTGATTGAGAAATATATAGATAATAAGGAGGATCTACATATGAAATTTATTGATTTAAAGAAAGCATATGATAAAGTTATAAGAGAAGAGCTATGGAGAGTTCTTGAAAAGAAAGAAGTTAATAATGCTTATATTCAAATCATTAAAAATATATATGCACGAGCAATTACTTATGTTCAAACAAAAGGTGGTTTGAAAGTATTTTCCTATTTCGATTGGATTACATCAAGGATCAACCTTAAGCCCATGTCTTTTTGCTTTAGTCATGGATGTTTTCACTAGACATTTGCAAGAGGATGTACCTTGGTGTATGCTTTTTGTTGATGATATTCTTCTTGTTGATAAGACTAGATAGGGAGTTGAAGGGGTAAACTTGAATTATGGAGGTCAACCTTAGGCCTTAAGCCCATATTTTTTTTCTTTAGTCATGGATGTTCTCACTAGACATTAGCTGGAGGATGTATCTTGGTGTATGTTTTTTGCTGATGATATTCTTCTATGTTTTCACTAGACATTTGCAAGAGGATGTACCTTGGTGTATGCTTTTTGTTGATGATATTCTTCTTGTTGATAAGACTAGATAGGGAGTTGAAGGGGTAAACTTGAATTATGGAGGTCAACCTTAGATTCTAAAGGTTTTCACTTGAGTAGAACTAAAACTAAATATATGGAGTGTAGTTTTAGTAGCAAATGACCTAGTGAGGGGATTGTGACTTTCGGCGATCAAGTCATTAATAAGAGTACATGCTTTAGATATCTTAGATCTATTGTTCAGAGTGATGGTGAAATAGATGGGGGATATTATCAGCAGAATTCAAGTCGGGCTTGTTGTGCAATAGAAAAGTCCCCCCAAACTTAAGGGAAAATTCTATAAGATGGTGGTGAGATCTACAATGCTTTATGGTGCTGAATGTTGGCCATTAAAAGAGAAGCATAATACTAAGTTAAGTGTTGCAGATGTAAAACCCGCAAAACGTCGTTTTAGACCTCGCACGCTTTTCAAAACGTCGCGACGAGTTTTTAAGTGGAAAATTCGAAGTTGTCGGATTTCGACGGAAATAATTTTATAAATTAGAGCGCAAAATTCTAAGAAATTTGATGTATAGAACTTATAATTAATTATGTGTATTTAGAGGATTATAAAATTTGGAAGTTTCTAAATGCCAATTCTACCCCTAAGTCTTTCTTAAGCCAAGTCTATTTAAGTGAGGGTAAGATTGACCTTTTGCAAATCCCTTTCTCTTAAGGGGACCGAATTCTATTCGGTCCCCATTTCGTTTCTTCCGCCCGAAATCACGAAGAGGGGGAGACGCTCGGGTAGAGGCGACGGGAGAGGTGGACGGGTTGCTCCGGCGGCGGTTTCCGGCGACCAATCTTGGGGAAAATCGTAGGGAAGACTAAGGTATGTGTTTTGCTTGAGTTTTCTTCTTCTTCCCTTGAGTTTTCTCTAAGGAATGGAAACTAGGGTTTAGAGAAAACTTGAGTTTTCTTTGAAATTCTTTTGAGAGAAGTTTAGGGAAGGTTGAAAGGATGTTTCTAAACCTTAATGCTAGTTGATTTCTTGAAAATATGAGTTTTGGTAAATTAGGGTTTCACTTAAAATTGACCCTCTTTGGAAAAGCCTTCACAAAAGGTATTTCTAAGGGTATGGGGAAGCTTTTATGTGAAGACATTTTAAGGTATAAGCAAAGTTTTGAGTTTATGGAAGATAGGGTTTCACTCAAAAAAATGATTTTCTTTCAAATACCATTCACAAAGATGTTTCCTAATGATTCTTAGAAGATAATTATGGAATTTGATTTAAGTTTTATAAGAATAAATTATATTTGGTAAAATTAGGGTTTTGTGAAGATGAGAGTTTCCTTTGGGTTAAGCTTAGAGAAATGTAAGGTGGTGTTTTAAAATCCTAATGTGAGTTACTTTTATAAAAAAAAAAGTTCTTTTTGAAACCTAGGTTTTTTTTTTAGGGTATGAGGGAGAAAACTTATATCTATACCTTATGTTTGCCACTTGTAGGATTGAATTTCGTAAGAGGAAAAGGGGGTGTGAGGACTTTTGAAGGATCGCCTTGTGGTGGACGGTTTGAGGTAGGTGGGATGAACATTCTTTTAAATGTTAGGTAACTTGTACTTTATTCAATTACATAGAAATGTTCAATTTGTTTATGTTAATTATGAACTTTTATGGCTCAATTTTCCTTTGTAAGTTTATGGATACATGAAGTGATTTCAAATGTTTCTCCTATGCAATGCTTAACTCATGTTTGGTTTACACACTCTTGATATACACTTGCTTCACATGATTTCCTTATCTTACATGCAAGAATACATTATGGAAAGTACATGGAGCATTTCATTTAAGATTATTTTAAGTAATAAATGCATGAGTATGTTGATGCGGGAGTATCACAAGGAAAAGGTTGGCTCTTATGAGCTATGGAAAAGGTTGGCTCTTACGAGCTATGGAAAAGGAAGGCTCTTATGAGCTGTGGAAAAGGTTGGTTCTTTTGAACCTATGGAAAAGGAAATGGCCAATTTATTGTACCTGATCAGTACAAGTGATACTCGATGTTTGATTTTTGTTAGATATTTTGATGTTATGTTTGAAGGATTACTTCTTTTCCCGTTCGACCTTTGTTCCCGCCTCGCACTAGCGAGCTAACCGGGCCGGGTCGTGACAGCAGAGATGAGGATGCTTAGGTGGATGAGTGGCTTTACCCTTAGAGATATGATACGAAATAAGCATATACGTGAAAATGTTGGAGTAGCTCCAGTGGAAGATAAGATTAGAAAGAGTCGCCTTACATTATTTGGTCACATTAAAAGGAGGCATTCCGATGACCCAGTTAGGAAAGTAGAGGTATTAGATTTGAGTTATGTTAAGAAAGGTAGAGGTAGACCTAAAAAGACTTGGTTAGAAAATATTAGAAATGATCTTTCTTTATTATATTTAAATGAGAATTTAACTTTTAACAGGACATAATGGCAAAAAAGGATTCATGTAGCCGACCCAATGTAGTGGGACAAAGGCTTGTTGTTGTTGTTGCTATATTTAAAAGAATCTAACATCCTTTAAATGATCCAAGTGTTGCAAGACTAAAATCTCTAGTGGCATTTAAGCTCATAAAGTTGGTAAGAGTTGATTGATTTGAATGAGAATAGGGTATGTTGATTCTATATATTATAGAGTGTGATGTCATATATTGATGTGTTGGTTTCAACAACCATTGTGATAACACAAAGAACCAAAAATGACACCAAGTATATAATGTCAAGTATCCTTAACAGTCGAATCAATAATGAAATTTATTGCTAATAATTATAATAAAGCGGTGTCAAATAATGTTTTGTCAAGCGAGAGTTTCTGAAGGATAGATGGCATTGCAAGACAAAGAAAGATTGAGTCTCAATAATCAACAAGACACTAGGATAAACTTCGAAGTAAAAGAATATAATAGAATTAACACTAATTGACTCAGATACTACAAAGCCTTAGTCAAACTTCCCCGTCAATGAAAGAAGGTGTCGCATTGAAAAGTGTTAATACAATACTATTAAATAAGCAAATAAAAAATTTAGACTCCAAGTGAGAGGTCATTAGGTGTGGAGTTTAAATTCCCTAAATAATATTAAATACGTTTTGGTTTTGGTTTTGATTTTGATTTTGAAGATTGTTAACTAATAACTACCAATTTCAAAATCCACACACAATTGACCGTTTAAGATTGGTGGCTACAAAATTACAGTTTTATTCATATTTAATAGTTCACACCTACCAAAAAAAACTAGTTCACACCTACCATCTTATATTGAACTAAAAAAAAAGAAAGAACCCAATGGTTCCAATGCATACATAATCACAAATAAACAGAGAGAAGGGAGAGGTAGAGGTGATTGGGGTGTGCCAACTCAGATAGAAAGAGGAGCTCTTCAAGTTCTTATCAGATGGAGACCTACTTTTTCAAGTACATGTTGATAGTTTTGGTTTTAACAAAAGGAGCTTTTAATTAAACTCCTGCAACAACAATAAAGGGAGGCAATACCAGCAACAATACCATCACCTTCCCCACATCTAGTTTTCATCCTTGCAGTATGCAATTGCACTATCTCTTAGTTCATGGCATGGATAAATGGCCTTTGCCCATATTTATATAAAATGAATTCACTCTATGTAAACCTTTAAAAGCTTAATAAACCATTCAATCTATGTGCAACTATTTATGCAGTTGGATCTCACCGAACCACTTTAGCTTATATTTTGAAATTATAATCTTTAAAAAATTTTACCATCATTGTTTGATCTTGCTTGAAATTTTATTATTATCCTAGCACATAGCTCTTTTATAAGAAATAATAGCGTAACTTTTTAACTTGACCCTAAGGAAGGGCCACTCAAATACCTTAAGTTAGTCCAACTGTTGCTTCATCGGTTAAGTAAAGATTTAAAAAATGAATTACTCTGATATTGATTAGTCAACGTGTTGAAATTCAAACTTGAAAGAATAATTGAATTTTATATTTCAAAGTTTCAAAAGAATAATTGAATTTTGATTTATAAATCATTTTTTTTCAATAGTTTTTGAGTTCCCTACAACAGGTTCTTAGAGCTCTTTTGTTAGGAATTATTTTATATTTCAAAGTTCATATAAACATCAAGATGACTCAATGGAAGAGATTTGAAAATAGAGTAATCAACTCTCATTCATCCCAGATGAAAATAAGCACAGCATTATTTTATATCTACTAAACTTACGCCAAATGTTAATATGAGCGAGGTTACAAAAGATCACCCAGTTCTAAATTTTGTAATTCAAAATGGCTTATCTCTCCATGTGGGGAAAATAATTAAAATTTTGATTTTGCAAAACTTGAGTGGAACAAGAACAGCTGGACTAGGTCACCTTCTTTAATTTATCAACTTTGTTTAGAAATAGGTATTGTGACGGATCTAACAGAAGAAATACAGCATCCTTACCAAAAATATAATCAAATCTTATCATTCAAGATCACCAGGGAGCACGGAGGAATTTCAACTCAATCCAATGTTCAATAACTCAAAATCACAGCCATTTATGACAATTTCTCAGTATGTTCTTGAGTTCAGATATGATGTTTCCAGTTTATAAAGAATAATGAAAGAACACACCATGTAGCATAAATAGATGGGGAACTTAATGGATTACCATTAGGACTGACAGAATCAGTAATTAAATTACATGACTGACATCAATGCAGCATTAGCCAACATGTTCACTAAATGCTCAATAAATATTGGACCAGATAGAGCACATTTTTCAAATCCTCCTACAAGTCCACCATATGCAGGATGCCCTCAAGCTGAACAACATGAAAAGGATGACTCCAAAGAAGAGTAACATTGACATTTAGGGCATTTTGTATTCTCAAATTTTGTATAAAGCATTTATAATTTCATTGAGGAAAGTGTTTAGTTTAAGTTTAGCGGTATAATAATTTTGTTGAGTGTGTTTTGTTGTATTCTTTGGGAGTTCATTAAGTCATTCTGTAAGAGTTTCTTTGGGAGTTTTTCTTCGAGATTTTGTTTAAGGATCTGGATCTAGCCCTAGGTGTTGGGTGTCAACGCCTAAGCACTACATACTCTGTTATTTATTCTACACACTGACTCCTAGGTGCTACAAAGGGTGGTGCATTGGTGTTGTTTGAATTGGCTCCCAGGCATTATAGCATATAGCGCCTTGGCCCCATGTGCTTCTTCCTTTATATGCATCCATTTTCTCATAGAGCTTTTATACCTGGTCATTTAATCATTTATTGTTCATCAATACACTATGATTCATGCATCTTCATCATGTGGTTGTTCCAATATTAATCATATTGTCATAAAATCAATCAAAATTTTGTCATATTACTTACAAAGATGTAATATAATTTTTATCTACCATATGGTTAGTTGATCTTTTGAAGCTTGATGGATTAAGACATTATTACATCAACAAAAAAACTTGGAAAGTTCATTTTTTTAAACAAATTAGTTAACATTAACATTTTAGATATTCAATGTGAACTGATAATAAAGGAACCAAATAAAACAAGTTATAGAAAAAAAAAAAGAATCTTCCCTACCCTGCAAGAATCTTCGACCGTACATGCTAAAATCTAATTCTCCATTAACCCAAGGGCACATTGATTTTTCACAACTATTGGTAATGGCATAGCTATGATCTACATGCTTTAATAATTTGAAATACCAAAATAGCTTGATGCAAAAGGGCATATTTATTTAGCTTGACTTTCAAAGATGATGTGGTCCAACTTCACAAACACAAAATCAAATTCTCCATAACCTCAAGGGTATATTGATCCATCAAAAATTGTGGTCTCCCTCCCTCCATCAAGACACCACATTGATAAAAGGAAGCTTCCAGCATGCAACAATTAAGATAAAAATCAAAGCTTGAAAGAAGAGAAGAAACGTCATAGAATATAGAACCTATAAAGCAACAAGCTGATTGGTCATAGCATACTTTAAATTGACAACAAATAAAAACTTGCTTAAAAAAGAAGTGGCAATAATAATCATGTCCTAAACCATATATAATTAGCTAAAATGTTCTAGCTTGATGGAATAAGATGTGTTCAAAAAAAAAAATAAACTAAGCAAGTTTATCATCTATGCTTAAAAAGTAAGTAGATTATTTCAGGCATCTACCAAAAAATTTAGTTGGCGTGACTTAAGAAGTAGAAAATACTGTAGATACACTTAAAAAATGGATTAAAGTTAAAAGAGGAATAAGAAATTCTTTATCCCCTCAAAGATGAGCAAAAAAAAAAGTAATGAAGATCTAACGTAATAAAACTTGAAAAAGTTCATACCTCATCGAACAAAACCCTGTAAGCATTTAAGTCGTGATATATTTTCCGATTTTCAATATTGCAATGATCAAGTGCTTGTGCGATGTAGTATGCAACTCTAACTCGCATTTCCCATGGTAAAGGCTGCTTGTCCCCTATAGATACAGCAAAAAAGCTCAATACATAAATAAAAGCATGCCATGAAGAAACGTGCCTACTAAAAAATTCCTTCAAACAGAAGAAATCATTTCAAATCAAACTTTCATAACCACTACAAATGGATCATCCATCATACTTGATGTCATAATTGATCCATTTTGAACGCTCCGAAACAATTTCAAGATCTTAAACCAATTTCTCCTCAAAAATATAAGCATAAAGTGCAGTCCAGTAGGCAACAAACAGAAAGCATCAACGCTAAGCTACCATCATTATCACCCTTAGTATTCACAGACAATGCTCATACTGACTCACATTAAAAAATCTATACATTCCAGATAACTTTTCACACAAAGTTTGTCTACGTGCTCGCTCTCGAATAGAGAGAGAGAGAGAGAGAGAGAGAGAGAGAGAGAGAGAGAGTATTAAGTTCATACAGTGAAAAAGATGCTTGGAAAGAGTGTCATTTGGCATGAACTCGGCGATAAGTAGCCTCTCATCCCCTTCAGCGCAGCAACCGATTAGGTTAACCAGCCTCTTGTGCCTCAACCTACCCACCCCTGCCGCCTCCACCTAAATTAAAAAATACGAAACAAAATATGAACATTCTTTAAAAATGCCAGCGAATCCTCCGCTCAAAATCAAACCAAATGAGTAGAAACACAGTCGAAATGTAAAAACAAACCACAAACTGTTGAGCATCAGGCCACGACTGGCGTGAGAACCGTTTGACAGCGACCAGCCTTCCGCCCTCTAGCTTACCCCGGTATACAACGTTCGGCGCTTTCTCGCCGCTTTCCGATACGATGAGCTCGGAGCTAAACCCCTTCGTCGCCGCCCGCAGCTCCGCCAAGTTAAACTCCCGGAACACCGGTACCCGATCTTGCTCCCCCTTCTCCCCTTAGAAAAACCAATAATTAAAAGATATCAAAAAAATGAAGGACAAAAAAAAACTCAGATAAGAATGCGGCGAGAACGAGCAACGCGGGGGCAGAATAAAGTACGTGAATCTTCCTTCTCCGCCGGAGGAGACTCCTCTTCAGGCGACTGTACGTTGCTGGTCTTCGACTGCAGGCAGCCCATTCCCCTCTAACCCTAGATTTCCATACAATTCCGGCGACGGCGCGAGTGGCGGCGGAAGGAGTGAATACCAGTAGAGCAGCTGCAAAGGAGAACAGGGTGGGAAGAGGTGAACTGACATGATGACGTGGCATCTATCCGCATTATTTAACGAGAGAATTTGTAAGGAAATCACATGCGGTCTTCCGCATGATAAATTACATTATGAACCGTTGGATTATCTATGATTGGCGGATAATAAAAACGCATACAATGTTGTATGCGGAAAGATGAGGTTCAGAGCGGGCCTAGCGATCACATGATAAGTCGACGATGGAGCACGTGAACGGGACGAGTAAAACGGGGAGAGGCTTCCGCTGCAGAAGAGATCCCCAGCACGGAATCTCAACCCAAAAATACACCCGAAGGTATGGCACCACAAATCTAGTTGGGTGGAATTTGTGTGGCGTGTTTGTTGGTTCGTATCAATCCATCGCCTGACATTGCCGCTCCGTGAAAAGTGAAATGAATTTCTCTCGGCATCAGTTTCTGAAAAGGTACTGCTACATTCGTGGAAGGCCGGTACTTTTTACGGAAACCCCCTTAAAAAAATAGATTTTGTGAAGGCTAGCTGTCGGTTTTGGCTAGTGGGTCTTAACGCCGTGTATTGATAAGTTTGAAGGCAGGACAACTATTGCACGACGTCGGCTGGCCCATAAGTTATTATTATTTTTTTTATGAAAATGAATTTCATCAAAAAAAAAAAAAAACTGTAATATGCTGCTATACGCAAGGTTTTTAAAAATCGGAATCAGATAATGAGTAGAAAGGAGGGGTTTATGATTCAAATTAGGGTCAAATCAGATAATGCCATAAATAATAATATTTTAAAAATTAATATATATATATATATATATATATATGAATGTAATAATGTTTTTATTTCTTAGTTCAATAGTTTTAATAATTTCATAAAAAGGAAAATCAAATATCTCCTAATTTGCATCATGAAAGCTATCGTCATAAGTTGAGTTTTCATATGTATCCCACTTCAACAAAATCTACACTCACAAATGCACCTAAATCATTGAAGTCAATTATGTCATCCACATCTCCTTCATTCTCTAATTCACCTTCACAAACAAATTAAAAATATTAAATAAGACTTTATTTTTTATTTTATTTAAATGATACATTCATATTTTACTTAACTTGTCAGGTGTAGGCCGAACGGATGCTATGTTTGTTTCTTCAACAAATGTATTACATCTGATATATCTTGCAAAAATAATCTTGATCGGGCACGAATCTTGAGGAAAAAATTAAGTTGGAAACTTCAAAATTAAATTCAGGAGCATCTGAACTCCGATTTCAGCAAACTTATAGTCAAACTGACCGTCTCAAAAATACGAACCCAACGACACCAAATTCAACTCAATCCGAGCCCAAATGATCCCAAATCAAGCACCCAAAGTGCTGTTGGAAAGTTCATACCACAATTTGAGTTGCCAAACGGTCTCCGATTTTGACGAGCTTATAGTCGAATCGAACGGCTCGATGAGACGAATCCAACGAGCCTAAGTCGTCGGATATTGACATTCCTAAAGCCTTCAAATGGCTGACGAACGGTGTATGATCAAGGGATTCAATATCAGCCGTCCATTCAACCACTCCCTTTTCGCCCCTTATCTCATGCCTATTTACAAGCTATACCACTCCAGAAAAACTATAAATAAACCCCTCATTTCTCATAAGAGGGGACCAAAGCAAGAGAGAGAAGAAGAAGAGAAGAAGAGAAGGAGAATCAACTCCTCCTCGACCACCGCCGGAGTTCTTTCTGCCGCCTGAATACGTTGGAATTCTGTCGGATATTCGGGAGACGTCGAAATTCTGCATAACTTTGTAACTTTGTTTCAATTTAGAAGAAATTGATCGTAATCTGATCGTCCTAACTTGTGGGAAGAATCAGCTTTTGTATCTCAAACAAACACTATTGGAATTACTTCAACTAGGCGTGGGCCCGTGATTTTTTCCCTCTTTCGGGTTTTCCATGTAAAAATCTTGGTGTTCCCTTTTTATTTTCTATTTGTGTGTGCTGAATATTCGTACAACGCTAAGACGAAAATTTACTAACTCTATCGTCGCGTATATTCTAGCCCACAAAAGTTTGGCACCGTCTGTGGGAAACACTATCCCACAACTTCGAGTATTGCTCCAATGGTTAACAGATGTAGCAGTCGCATCGTTAGAGCTTTGCGCTCCAACTCCCACCAATCCAAAAATCAGTCTGTGAATCACAGACGCCCGATGTCTACCTCTTTTCATCCTGGGGGGCAAAATGCTGCCGGAGAAGGAACCTCGATACCTTCTTTAGAAGAAAGAATCTGGAAAATTAGGGGTGTCAATTTTTGACACGATACGAAACACGACCCGATCCCGACCCGGAAAAATCCGGGTTTGGGTCAACCCAAACCCAAAACAGGTCGGGTTCATGAAATCAACCCGTTTTAAAAATCGGGTCGGGTTCGGGTTGACTCGCCAACCCGAAATTGACCCGAAAGTGACACGAAAACTCATTTTTGACCCAAAAACCCGAAATTGACCCGTTTTTTACCCTATTTTTACCCGAAAACCCGAGATTGACCCGATTTTTTACCCAAAAATTAGCAATTTTGGGTCAATTCCGGGTCATTCGTGTCGGGTCGGGTTGACCCGGACCCGAATCGGGTCGGGTTCGGGTCCAGAAACCTGACCCGTTTTTAAAAACGGGTCGGGTTCGGGTTGACTCGAACAGTGCCGGGTCAGTTTCGGGTTCGACCCGAACCCGACCCGTTGACCCGAATTGACACCCCTATGGAAAATGAAAGAATCTCAGAATGAGATCCTTCAACTCCTGTGAGAGAATCAGCAGCCAGCACTGGCATAACGGGAGGAGGACCTTCTCCCTCAGGATCCACCACGGGTTGAAGATGTTCAATTCGAACATCTTCAAGCAGAGATTCATCTTCCTCCACATCCTCAGTCACGACAAGATGATGAACTTGTCGATACAGTAAGTTCTACCCATCCCTCACACACTGGTCGGCAACCTCACGTTCTTCCAGATCTCCTAGAAGACTCAGCCCAACCACTAGTTGCTGAGCTCCCTCGCAACGCCCTCCATCATGAACTGCAGAGATTAGTACTGAAAGAGTTCCCCCGAGAAGATGTGAGGCAAACTCTCCGACAGAGGAACTTCCAAGAGTCATCACCTCTAATTAAAGTCATTCTTCAGCACCCCTTTATGGTTGGATTCAAAGTACCAAACATTGATTCCTACGATGGGACGACCGACCCATATGAGCATATCGACTACTATATAACCATCATGCATATTCAACGAGCATCGGACGCACTCTTTTGCCAGGTTTTTCCTGCCATCCTTAAAGGACAGGCTCAAACGTAGTTCTATTCGCTTCCATCCAGAACTATCCCTTTATTCGTCAAATTAGCCAAACTTTTGTTGAACAATTTGTGGCTAATCGAAGAATTGCTAAGGATTCTTCTTATCTCTTCGGGATCTGCCAAAATGAGGGAGAATTGTTGAAGGATTATTTTCAGCGGTTTTCCACCGAGGCTCGATAGATTCTAGGAGTAGACCCTGAATTACTCAGAGGGGTCTTTCTTGGATGTCTTCATCCTGGACCCTTCTATACGGTACTCATGCACGACATTGTTCATTCATATGCCGATCTGATCCATCATGTGGAGGCACTAATCTCTGCAGATGAAGCCATAAATGCTCACATGAAGCAGTTTGAGCAAACCAATGGGAAGCACAAAGGTGCACCTGGGATGGACAATTCATTCTCACAATAGAAAAAATAATGGAGGAATAATCTTCCTCCTAGGCCTTCATTACCGTGATGGGAACCTAGATAGGAGGAGTATACCCCACTCAACACATCTCGTGCAAATGTGTTGATGACCGTTCAAGATCAAGATACATTGAAATGGCCAAATCCTTTGAAGTCGAACACAGGAAATCCATATCAGTATTGTCACTTTCATCGTAGTCATGGTCACACTACCGAAGCCTGTAAGCAACTCAAGAATGAGATTGAAAGACTTATCCGCTAGGACTATCTTCGATAATTTATTTGAGATCCATCTACCCGAGAGAAAGCTCGTCCCGCTGGGGGGCAAAATCAACAACAAAGACAACCATTAAATAATATTCAAATGGTTGGAGAGATTGAATGATCATGTACTTCGTATATTTGTATTAACGATACTACTTGCCTTGTTATCTCTTTTATGTTGAGTAGGGTGTCACTTTGATATCTTTAATATCTTCTTCCAAGTTAAATGTTGTATTGTGTCCGTGCGTATATCTTATGTGTTGAGTCATTATAACTTGTATATCCCTAAGTCATACTAGGGAACTATTGATTTTATATAATACAATAATATAATGTTCATGTTGTTGCGATATTATTTTCTCTTATAAAAAATAAAACAGTAATTACTAATAATTTTAACTAAAAAATTTGCAATTTAAATGATTAATAATTTTATAGCCCATTTAATTAATTACTAATTATTAATTTATTTTAACTAATTATTAATTCATACCTTATTTTAATTAATTATTAATTTAATAACATATCTTAATTATAATAACTTTAAATTTTATTTTATTTTATTCTTAATTAAATAATCAAAATAAGTTAGTGAAGTACTAATTAATTAAATATTGATTTAATAACTATTACTATTTCTTTTATATAAATATAATATAGATAAAATTATAACATTTTTTGTAACGCAGCAAAGCGGAAGACTCCTTAAAAAATTTTCAATAGGTTCAAGGTTCAAACCTGGTAGGTGACGCGCGCGGGCGGGCTAGCAGGCTCGATCGTGGGCCCGGGTGAGCTGGCGTGTGCGGGCACTTGGCAGGTAGGCTGGGCGCGTGTAACCGGGGGTGCTAGGTGGGGCAGAGCAGTAGGCGCGGGCTGGGCGCCCTAGAACGGGCGGGCTGTGCACGTAGGACAAGGCGGCTGGGCGCGCGTGCCCTGGCCGACTGGGTGCAGGCGAAGCAGCACATGTAGGCTTGGAGGCTGGGCGTTAACGGGCATGGTGCAGCAGGCAGCGGGCTGGGGGGAGCGAG